CTACCTAAACAAAATACTCGCTTAATTAACAAACTGCAATTAGATAAATTAGAGGACGATTTACGCAACATCGACTTTGAGCCAGTATATAATTCTGCTGACCCACAATACTGCATGTCGTACGTGATTGAAAGCGTGCGTCATGCAATTCAGCAAAACACAGTACTAACAAAGTTACGTAACAAAAACTATAACATCAAACCGTGGATTACAACTGGACTAATCAGGTGCATGAAACATAGGGACAAACTGCATACTAAGGCTAAATCGAATCCAGACAATACGGATATACAAATATCCTACAAAAGATATCGAAACTTTTGCAACGACCTCCTTAAAAAGATCAAAAGTAAATTCGATAAAACTAAATTAGAAAAGGCTGGCTCAAATAGCAGACAATTATGGAAGTGCATTAAAAATATTACATACGCGTCAAAACAAAGTGACTCAGCCTCGGGTTTACTAGAGGGATATACGACACCGCGCACGGCCGCTAATGTGACTAACAACTTTTTTGCTAATGTGGGCAAAAGTCTAGCAGAAAAAATCCAGGGTCAAGGCCATCCTCAACAAAATACCCCGAAGAAGTACACACCCATAGCATCTTTTGTGATGTTCGACACTGACGAGACTGAGGTACAAAATATCATTATGACTCTGAAGGACGATAGCGCTGCTGGCTGGGATGATATCCCTAGTAAAATTATTAAGCAGTTTAGAAACATTCTAACACCTCCTTTGACTTATATTTTTCGACTGTGTTTATCTTCAGGCATATTCCCGGCATGTCTCAAAAAATCAGTCATAGTTCCAGTACATAAATCAGGCAGTAAATCCCAACTAACGAACTATAGACCTATCTCACTACTGCCTTCTATGTCTAAAATATTAGAGAAGCTAGTAAATAATAGACTGCTTAAATACCTGGAGGACAGGTCAATCCTATCAGAACACCAATATGGATTTAGACCTAAAATTTCAACAGCAGATGCAGTACACTACGTGACTAACTACATAACGCAAGAACTTGATAAGGGTAAACATACTTTGGGAGTCTTCCTAGATCTGGCCAAGGCTTTTGACACAATTTCCATTCCTGTGTTGTTGCGTAAGCTGGAGATCATAGGTATAAGAGGGATGCAGCTTAAATTTTTTCAAAGTTACCTAGAAGACCGCAGTCAGTGTGTAAGAATCGGTAAAGTACTCAGCGATGACGTTAAAAACACCCCCTACGGTGTCCCGCAGGGGAGCATATTATCGTCTACATTGTTTCTAATATACATAAATGACCTATGCAATCTTAAGCTGGAACACGGCACAATCGTGTCATACGCTGACGACACCGCTCTACTTTTTTCTGCTGACTCGAAAACTGAGGTCTACAGACTTGCGCAGCACGGATTTAATCATGTAAATAACTGGCTTCGGTGTAACTCACTAACATTAAATACAGATAAGACACACTTCATCAAATTCGCTATTCGGAAGGAAAACCCAGTTTCTACCTTAGCCTTGTATGCCCATCACTGTAACATTCCTGATCAATGTATGTGCCCTTTTATCAATCAGAGTAGTAATGTAAAATATTTAGGTGTAATATTAGATGAAACTCTTTCTTTTAAACGGCATCTGAACGTTTTAAACAATAGATTGCGTAAGCTCATATTTGTGTTCAAAAAGCTACGTTACATTGCTGACCCAAAAATAATCAGACAGGTATATTTCTCCTTGTGCCAATCAATATTAACTTACTGTATTACCTCTTGGGGTGGTACGGATAAGACTCTACTGCTTTCCACTGAAAGAGCCCAAAGAGCGATTCTCAAGGTGTCTACTGGCCGATCTTTTCTTTACCCCACTAACCTTCTATATAGTTCTTGTAAAGTACTAACAGTCCGGCAGCTTTTTATTATGAGCCAGTGCTCATAATAAAAATATATTTAGTACAGTTACTAAAACAGCATGCGGCTTTTCCATACAATCCTGGGATAACCGAAAAACGGCGAAGAGATATTGTTTGCCCAACCAAAAGTACAAAGCACGCTTTTATTACCAAATTTTTTGTAATTCTTGGACCACTCCTATACAATAGACTAAATGCAATGTTATGGATTTATCCCCATAGCATCCGTAACTGTAGGAAAATTCTAAAGGAAGCCCTTCAAGACATGTCCTATGAAGACACAGAGAAGTTATTAATAGTTCCTAAATAATACTTAAAGTAAGCTCCTAATCTCTTATTTATATACTACATACATACTCTTAAATATATATTAAGCATAGAATTTAAGTATTACTTTACATCAGTGTGCGTACATATAATTAAATATTGTCATAATTTACTACCTAACTTATTAGCATTTAAGTACTAGTGATTATATAACATTGTTTACTACTATTACCTAACCTCGCCTGAAACACAGGATTTCCTAGTTCAGGCACCTTATATTGTGAACTTTATTTAACTTTAAGCAAAACTGTACATTTCTAGATCATTATGTTTGAAAATAAATTTTATTATTTATTTATTATTTATAATCCGGACGTCGGGGATCGCGAGCACGGGCCTGCGGACGGCGAGCACGGGTGACTCGCCGCCCGACCAAAACCAGGCTCGAGCGTACGGCGCGTCGCGTTTCGCGCGCGCCTCAAGGAGCCATCAGACCACCACAGATGGGGCCCAATAGGGCTGATGCCGATACGGAGCCGCGGAAGACTTAATGGGTTGCCGGGGCTCCGGCTCGTAGTGCAGGAGTGGGTACGGGGCGGGGTGGTTTTTAGTCAATAAGAGTCTGACAGTCTCTCTCGCCTCCGCCGGAAAAAAAAAGGTCCGGCAAAGTATTAAGATATAAAAATCTCAGTCAGTAGTAGCACGGAGTCTGGAATTGTACCCGGTATATGGCAATAGGCTCACTAATTACATGGGACTAATAACATAGTGAAATGTGGGTGTTACTTCTGTGTGCACCTCTGCCTACTTCTTCGGGGATAAAAGGCGTGATGTTATTCGTCGTGGTATAATGAAAGCCATTGAACCTTTTTGAATTAAATTCGGTAAAACGACAGTTTGAGACCTAGGAAACGATGTATGATAGTTTTTATCTCAGATGTCCAATGGGAACGGGAGACTCTCTGTCTCTTAACCACTGAACTTAGAATTAAGAGAGATTCGGTACAATATAATCGATAGAATATTATATTTTTATCACTAAAACCTTACGGGAACGGGCACTGTACTGGTAAAATCCCTGCATGACTATTTATTTTTGTAATCTATACATATAATAAAATTGTGGAAAAGTGCTGTCTGTACATTGAAAATAAAAATAAAAAAAATAGCAGGGGCTATTGTTATGTCGATGTCGAACCCAAAAATGTAACTAACTTTTTTTTTGTCTGTTTGTCTGTTTGTCTGTTCACGCTAATCTCAGAAACGGCTTATCCGAGTTGGATGCGGTTTTCACGAATATATTGTGGTATGCTTCAGTTATGCTTTAGTGTTTGTTTCATGTCAATCGGTTCATAAATAAAAAAGTTACGTCAAATTAAAGAATCACGTCGAACACTATCTATCTATCTATACATATAATAAAATTGTAGAAAAGTGCTGTCTGTACATTGAAAATAAAAATAAAAAAAATAGCAGGGGCTATTGTTATGTCGATGTCGAACCCAAAAATGTAACTAACTTTTTTTTTGTCTGTTTGTCTGTTTGTCTGTTCACGCTAATCTCAGAAATGGCTTATAAATATATATATATTTAACAGGGTGCGGAAAAGGTGATAGTGGTTTTATTCCTCAGATTCCTCTCATTCCAAAAAATTTTCCGTTTAATTTTAAACGAATTCAGTTTCCAGTGAGCCTATGTTTCGCCATGACAATTAATAAAGCTCAAGGTCAGACTCTAAAAGTTGTGGGTATAGATCTAAGTATCAGCTGTTTTTCGCACGGTCAATTGTATGTGGCTCTGTCCCGTGTTAGCAATCCCAGCAGCCTGTATGCTTTCACCCCCGATGGCCATACGTCTAATATTGTATATAGAGAAGCATTACAGTAAAGTAGGTTTTTTAGCTACCTAAAATGACTGTGATTATGATCCAAATCTAAAATAAAAATAAGTATATATTTAAAAAAAAACGCTGCTCATAGTCACTATTCTACGCGAATGAAGTCACGGGCACAGCTAGTATTAAATATAAATTCATTTCACTTAGGCACTGAATCGATTCTGATTCTGATGAATTCGGCCAGAAGTCGCGGGCAACAGCTAGTATATATATATATAAGTAAGGTTGACGTTTTAGGTTTCTATACTTACCTCTTTCTTGATAATAAGCTGTCCCATACTTCAAAGACTTACCATTTTTGTGAAATTTCTAATTACTTGAAATTTTGATCTTCAATAACTGTTGAGGCATAGACGAGATCGATGGAGACTAATAATATTTGTATTCGTGAATATCCAATGTCATGTTACATCAGTAAAATACAAAAGTACAAAGCAAATAGCTTCCTAAAGCTTAAGGAACTAACCGACAGACGGACATTTCTTTTTAAAATTTCATGTTTTTTTTTGACGTCCGAGTGCCTTCGTATTGTAATTGAAATAAATGATTTGTACTGTGACATACAGGCCAAACTGAGAACCTCCTTTTAATAAAGATTTGCAAACAAATTTTGCCAGGTTGCACAAATCAAACACAAGATCCAGTAAGTGAGTGTGGGAGAGCCATGCTATAGCACCAATGTGTGCTATCTCAACCAGAGTAATACCATGGCCTCGCTGAAAAGTGGGAGTGAGGTTAGCCCCTGCCTTCCCAATCGCCAAATCACACAACCTTCAAATTCCCAGGCTGGAAACACACTCATAGTCCTCTGGAGTTGCAGGTGTCCATGAGCAGTGCTGATTGCTTACCATCGTATAAGCACAATAGATAATCATTAAATGATATTCAATTAAATTTATTACATGTTTCGATGCAAGAAATTAAAGAAATAGTCTCTAGTTCTTAACCATTTATTTGTCTAATTTTAATGAAAGTCAGGCTACCTCTTAATGAGTGTTTCATGTTCGCTGTGTGGTGTGATTTTTCTACGATTAAAGTCCGCTGTGTTCCAAAATAATGGGAGCTGCAAATAATAACAAGTAATATAAAGAAACAGACATCAACCTCATTCCTTTTGTATACACTTTATACTAATTTACTTCAAGACCAACCTTATGATGGCAATAACAGAGACAATGATTTAACAACCAGTGGCTTAAGCCACCCTGGCATCTTAAGTTGCTCTCATCAAATCAAAACTGAGTGCCACTGAAGTTAAAGTTAAATATAAATAAATGTATAATTATAACTTAAATTTATACACTAGTTTTACAAATACAGTCTATAAAATTGCCATTGTATTGCAATACAATTATATTTCATTCATGGTGAGCATCAAAATGAAACAAACACAATTTTTTTATGTATTGTCTATAAAAGGAGTTCAAAAATTGTAACCAATGTGAGGAAGAAAGGCAATAAAACATTTTATCTCAATTTTTATATATTGACCTGGCAATCCAAGTACAAAGTATCAAAAGAAGGAGTTGAATAATAATATAATTATATTCAGTTGTATGCCTCTTTACAGTAATCAAGGCTTGATGTGTATGTAATGTTTACTATACACCTACATATCTTACTAGAATTCTGGAATAGGAGGCACATTAAGACTGTGGCTATTCATGTAAATGGTTGATCTAAATATTGATACCTACACATATTGATATTTGGTACAGACTCGAAATTCCGTAAGGATTTTACTCAATGACTATTATTACTGGCTAGTGTTGCATACTTTTTATAATATGCACTTTCTGTGGTTGGATTATGGATAACTGCTTAAAAAAACATAAAAGTCTAATACTTAGTGCATACATTGGAACAAGTCGAGCATACTACAAACAGTATAATAATGCGTGCCTGTCATTCTGATGCTCCAGTTTATGTGGTTCATTGCACCTATTCTCTACTATTAACGCTACGTTAAGCACCAAGAAATTGGTGCTACAAAGTATACTCATTCTAAGAGTTTAGCACCCTCAATCTGAGATGCTACAAAATAATGTTAGCTTTCAAAAGGAATGTAAGTATACTTACCAACTCTGATAGCGGCACATAATATAGCGAAGGTTATTACGCTACTAATAGTGTTTTCACGCGCCTGGCGTTTTTCCTCCATTGGGTCAACCCTTTCTCCGTATGGCAATCGGAACATTGTTGTAGAAGTCAGCAGTAAGTAGCTACACCTAATTGGAACTAAATTTTCGAACTATCAATTTATTTTGCAATGGCTATAAAATAGTATTTAGAAACCCTGTAGTCTACTTAGCAGAGGTTATAATTTACTTTACCTGAAAGCGACAAAGTGACAGGACAGAATGGAAATTGGAAAACTTGCCTTTTTATCCAATCCAACAAGATGAAGAAAGTGCCTGTTTTATAGCGGCTACACATTACTACACCTTACGATTTAGCTATACATAATGCAATTTTAACAGTTAATTCGTTACGACTATCGTCTTTCAACTATGCAGTTTTACTGTATAATGGATGTACAGGTAAATCATTAGTCGCGCCACGACACACCGATGTTGTATTTCTGGCCCGTTCACACAGCTCGTTCACGACCTTGTCGCTATGCGCGACAACGACAGGCGATGTAACGAGCGAGTGACGAGCGATGATATCAAAAGCACGATATTGTGTCAAAAGTAAAGAATTGAATGTACACAGATATACAAGAAGAAGAAGACCAAACATTAGCTAAAATTTGTGAAGCAAAAAAACACATATGCCTAAAGTAGCTTAAACGGAGCCAGGCTAGGGTTGGCATTACAAATAATAGATATTATTAGGGACCTACCTAGAGATAAGCGTGTTGATACTGAATAACTACCCATTTTTACTACTTTTTTTTATATGTTACCGGAAATGTATGAGGATCCTATGGAATTTATATAAATCCGAAACTAAGTATTTTGGAACTGTTTAATAAAGAACCATCTAGCGGAACATTTGTGTACTACTTGAACACGAACATAGATAAAAAACGTGTTTATGTGGAGCAAGTCGTCTGGGCCACTCTGGTTGCCCGGGCGTTAGACGCTATAAAGTTTTGGGCCACTCTGGTTGCCCGGGCGTTTGAGTGGTAATTAATTTATAGTTTAAAAAAATATTTAATATGTAGGTATGTATTAAGTAATTTTAATATATTCATAATAGAGAAAATGTATACAAAATTGCTTTTTCAAATAAAACACGGTAAAAGGAGAATAATAATGTTTATTAAGGTACTTGTTATGGTTAAGAATATCAGGTAATAGTTATAGACAAGTTCTTTCCTTGTCCTGTTCGAGCGAGCGGAGCGAACGCCATGTTAGATTATTCAACTTAGTAGTAACTACTAACTACTACTCAATATGAAAACAATACATTTATGATTTTAACCTTTCGAATTTATAAGGCCATCCTCTGTTGATTGTACAAGTACTTGAGCTGTCATGAATGATAATTTAAGTTGATTTTATTTTTTTATCACTTTTGTTCATTGTATTCTAAGTAAACTCATGGGGAAATGGCGTGATAGTTGTTAAGGCTTCGTTACACATCACAACAGTGTAAGTGATTAATTCCAAAAATAGACCTTACATAACATAGCAGCCATCTCATCACTATGCAGAAAAATCTACAAGCCTATCTAACATTTACTTGTCCAAGAAGGTTGTCCGCACGACGCTTAAGTTTCTTGACTCTTCTAAGGGGGCTGGACCTGATGGTCTACCACCATGTCTTTTCATAAAAAGTGTGACAATCCTGTTGTGCTTGTGGGTGTTGGGTTATGTGTGTGGAGACTGATGATACGCTCGAGAGTCTAATGCCAACTGTGTTTTACTTCATACCTTAAACGCTAGGTTACATACTGACGCTAAGTTATGTTTATAATTTGGAATCCATTCTGCAATAAGTACAGTTCTAGATTGCAATGGTACAGAAAAAGTTCATGCGATCGGTAAATTTCAAATGTTATCATTCGAAACTTTCGTGTGAACGGTTGTTTACACGCTATAATATGCTAAGTTTAGAGTCTAGGCGTTTGCTTTTGGCTGTTATGATGCTTCATGACTTGTGTAATAATAGATTTTCGTCGCTTAGTGGAAACATACATTTCATGGGCCTGGACATTTTCGCTTTCCAAGCATGGGAAAGCCATGTTTCGGCACGAAAGGGCCGGCTCGACCCGAGTGATACCACGGCCTCACAGAAAACCGATGTGAAGCAACGCTTGCGTTGTATTTCGTCGTGTGAGTGAGGTTACCGGAGGCCCAATTACCCTCCCCTTTCCCCAATATCCCCAATTCCTGAATCCCCAACGATCCTCAAACTCCTAATCCCCAAAAGGCCGATAACGCACTTGTAACGCCTTTGGTGTTCCAGGTGTCCATGGGCGACGCCGATCGCTTACCATCAGTTGATCCCTCTGCTCGTTTACCGGCTTATGCAATAAAAAAAAACATGGATTTAGACTGCTGGGTTGTTGCACTGATGTTTGTTTATTAATTAGTTATTCGTTTCTTTTTACTTTTTTGTTGTATCTTTTTATGTGTTATTTATAAACCTAAACTTAAACGTAAACTTTAATTAAATTACGATAACACTACCGTACCGTAACACGGTAATTATTGCCGTTATACTTCATACTAAATTAGAGAGACACACTAAAACCTGACGGGAACGGGTACTGATAATATCCCTGCGAGATTATTTATTTTTTTAAACTACGATAAATTCATTTTATCATAAATCTAATTTTGAACTTAATTCTCTAACAGTCAACCATGGGGTGATGCACAGCGCTTACCTACTTGTAGAGTAGAAACTAGAAAACTATGGGATTGACGTAAATTTTTACACTTGTCAGTGTGTCTGTATTTGTCTCATACATTTAGTTTTCTACTCTAGCGCTAAAGTGGCGTTTGGCTAAAGGCACAGGTCTCTGCTAGGATTAGGATTGCCTTTGTATGTGATATAGGTTATCGCCAAATGCTTTTACAGCTGATTGGTCGCCAATATCGTTTCGCCACGCCACTCCACGAAGGTTGGATGTATCTCTTGCCTTACTTAGACTTGTTAGTGTTGCTACTTTCAAATAAAAAAAACTTGTGGCCTACCTGGTTTTTGAGTTTTTGCGAACTGCGACGACTGCCATGTTTCAAGTCAGATAAGTTGTCTATCAGTTGACGTTAAAGTGTTTCAGTCCAGACAATAAATAATAAGTTTTAGTCATACAAAGGGTAAATGACAACTTCGTTGAGCAAAACATTGCTTACAATTTGGCGAACTATTTTTCTAAATATAAAATGATTAAGTTGCGCAACATGGCGATTATGGCTCAGCTGCTTAAATTGTTGTCGTGAAAAGTTTCAATGATAGGGTTTTGCGACGACGACACGCTCTACTTAACTTCAGTTTTCAACTCATTCGAAGCATACAGTTAGTTCTAATTTATCGGTTATCACTGCTCAGTGTGATGAGACATCTTGTGTTTCTGTGCGGCCAAGGCGCGAACGTGCTGTGACTATTCCTCAAGTGCTTTTTGTTGGCTGGTTTGAGAAGAAAGTCGGAGAACATCCGTCAAGCTGGAGCGACTACCGGAGTACCTGCGCGACACTGTCGACTGGTTCATGGGGTGAGTGGTCGCACGCCATGTCATTATTGTCATTGTTCAATCGCTTACACTACAATTTATTGATAGTTCTACTAAACCTTTCACAAAATTAACTGTTATGCCAATAATTATCTAGCAAAGACAGATGAAAACGAAAAAATGTGGTCAGTGGCTATCCTGGGGTATTGGAGTATAATGAATGGTTAGGTGTTATTTTGTGGTAACTCATATGTGTGTATTTGTTTTCTGCTAAGATGGTTAGCAGAAAACAAATACATTGGTAAAATTAAGTATTCCTTCAATTTTAAACTGTCAAATACCAAGCGGTCACCGGTGACTGCCAGTTTAATACTGAGAGACTGAGAACAAAATATTTGTGATTGGAAACCCTCTAGTTGGTACTCTAGTGTGGTTAATTAGAAGATATTGTTTATAGTCTATAAGTTAGTTTATAGTGAACTTTTTTCTTTGTAAATCACCAGAAAAGAATTCCATTATTCATCCTCTATGTAGCTCTCTATACAGCTTATATTTAAACTAATTAAAGTTATTTTATTTATTTATTAAAGTTATATACAATTGCATAAGGAGGACTTAATGCTAGCAACATTCTCTGCCAGTCATCCTTTCAGTAGTGGAAAAATGTATGTGGTTGGTGGTAAGCTTCAAGAAGGTTCTGAGAGTTAGTGGTATAATTATCAAAATTATTATATAAGAGTAATTATGTACATAATAGTAGATATAATTTGGTAGACAGTGATCCCGCTACTGGTCAGCTTCTATTTTTATATTTTTAAATATTATATTTTTATTTTGTAAGTAGTATTTAAACTGTCAAACACCAAGCGGTCACCGGTGACCGCAACCTATTGTTCTATAATTGTGTCTATAATGACGGTACTTGACAAGTAAAAATGTATTTAAACTGTCAAACACCAAGCGGTCACCGGTGACCGCAACCTATTGTTCTATAATTGTGTCTACAAAACCGGTACTCGACGAGTTAAGGAGGATTTTAAATAAACATACAGAAAATATAATTATATAGGTATAAATATTCAAATAACCTACATACCTAAGAATATTTTAGGGTTTGGGACAGAGATTTAGGAATTAGTGTGTAAAGTAAATACCTCTCTGTATGTTCTTAGGCAAACTATGTATGGATGACGAGCAATGTCGTTTCAGCTCAATCAGTTGAAGATTACATGATTGTGTTGTATAACATTGCAGTGAAAAGGGTGTTACAATGTAGGTATATACATAATTATGTGTACCTTCATCTACTGCTTGAGCAATTTACCATTAGCACATATTTAACTCGTTGAGTATTGTCAATATAGACACAATTAACTCGTCAAGTACCATCTTTATAGACACAATTATAGAACAATAGGTTGCGGTCACCAGTGACCGCTTGGTGTTTGACAGTTTAAAGAACAATAGGTTGCAGTCACCGGTGACCGCGCGGTGTTTGACAGTTTAAATGGTATCACATTGTGCCTGGTATGTTTGATAAATGGAATGCTGCTTTCAAGTTCATCAATAATATTATTCGACATTCGATATCCATTTTAATTGAGTTATATTCCCCTTACTATTAAAAGTTAATTAATTGACTTTATAAAATACAACAGTAATAACATACAAATACACTCACAACAATTGTCATATTATTGTGGTCTAGTCAAGCGTATTAACTCTTCGAGTACCGTCATTATAAATAGAATTATAGAACAATAGGTTGCGGTCACCGGTGACCGCTTGGTGTTTGACAGTTTAAAAGTACGACATTATTTTGAATGTAAATATAAAACAACTGCTAAAACACTCTAACTACTTGTAAATTTTAAGACTTCCCAGTAAATTATAATAAACCAACCATTCATAAGTTGGTAAAGTCCACTAAAGATTGTGATATGATCTTTTACCACCATGCTCTGATTTACATCAAAGTATGGTAATATGTAAAAGAAAAGACACAGATTTGTGACGTTTCGGTTTGAGGACTAGTGAGTTAAGCAAAACAAAAAGTTTTTCTTTAAAACCTTAGGTAGGTATCTTTTATTATGCTGTATACAATTTTATAACGGACTTATAGCTATACCCTTGCGGTTTTACGTGCTGCTCAGCTCCTATTGATGCTAGCATCAGGGACTGAATAACCGAAAAATTACGATACCTTTAAATTGCGGTATGACGTCATACCGTTAAATAACGGTTACCGCTTAATTTCGGTATCGAAATTTAATTTCGGTACCGTTATTTTTGGGTATGAAATGAAAACCGGTATATTTCGGTACCAGTATCCTAACCTGAATAATAAAGGTATGAGAGAGATATTGACCGCGCTAGATCATCTATCCTATTTCATCGCATTGCATTAGTTTGGCTTGTTCTCTGGACACAATCACATGCGGCTCGCGTTATAATATTTTATGGTGTGCTGAGTTGAATTGAGATAACAATTATTAACAATGTCAAATAACGCACGAAAACTTATAATAACAGAAATAAGTAAGTATATGTACTTATTACTACTTATGTAATCTGATAATAACATACTTCTAGTTGACACGTAACGAGTACTAAGTACTAGTATCTTACCTACTCGTTGTCGACGCGTACGGCACGCGGCGGCGATCTAACGCCAGTAGACACGCTCACACACAGACGCTGCGTGCGTACTATTTTATTACACTTTTTATGTTATTACACTATAGCTCATTACTATAGTTTATTATAACGTAGTGTGTTATAATATTTTTTTTACCTTATAGGTATATATTTTCACGACATTTTTGTCAAAAATTGGTTAAATGCCTAAAGTTTTTTTATTTCTACCTCGTCGGGCGCGGATTTCCAGAATTCTTGTTTTGATTCAAAGGGTATACTCCCGAGATGGTCCTTTTCATTGAGGTCAGGATCTGATAATAGAAGCCTAGGAAAACCGAGGAGAACTTTCGAAAATTGTAGGGGCGTGTAATATGTGTATTGTTATTCAATTAGGATTTTTAAACTCTACCCCAGGAGGGTACCAGCTCCGCTGGAGAATCCCTCCCTGAGCATGATTGCTCAGGCAGCCCCGTCGTATCTTGGCAAATTCCCAACGGCGACGTGCTCTGCCACACGTCACGTTTTGTCTCCCCGTGAGTAGGCAGAAAGCGGGCTGAGGATTGCCTTTTTGCTACACTGAATGTGTGTGGAGGCGTAGAAGGCAAGATGTTAGAAATATGTGAGATGATGAATACAAGAAAGATTGATTTGTTAGGGATGAGCGAGACGAAAAGAAAGGGTTGTATGACTACCACACATGGCCAATATATTGCTTACTGGTCTGGTGTTGCAAGTTCCCAGAGAGGCAGCCAGGGCGTGGGGGTCATACTATCTGAAAGGATGAATGAATGTGTGAAAGAGTATAAATGTGTGAGTCCCAGGATACTTTAGATCCGCCTTAAAATTGGCTTGACCAAATTATTTGTCGTCTGTGCTTATGCCCCGGACATCTCAAAGCCAATTGGGGTGAGGGAAGTATTCTGGGATAACTTGAGAGATGTTCTTAATGAATGTAAAGAGAATGAAAGAATAATTATGCTTGGAGATTTTAATGGATGGGTTGGAGTGGCACGCGATGGGTACGATAGAGTATTAGGGCGATTTGGAGACGAACGAGTGAACGAGAATGGTGTATGTCTTCTGGATATATGTGTAGAAAAGGAACTTTTTGTGACCAACACAACATTTGGTCACAAGAAGATACATATGTATACATGGCAGAGGCATACAGAAAGAAGTACGATTGATTTTGTGATTGTTGATGAACGCCTGAGGACAAAACTGAAGGATACAAGGGTTTACCGTGGCACGAATGTCGGAAGCGACCACTTCCTAGTAATTACTAGAATAGCTGGACTGGCAATGAAGTGGAGACATCGGCCACGGGTAAGGTTGCTTGGAACCGAGAGAGTGAGAGTTGAACGGTTGAGAGAAGAGGCAGCTAGGGACCAGTACAGGAAACTATTAAATGAAAGGTTTAGGGAGCTAATGAAAGGTTACGAAAGGAATATAGAAGAATTTTGGAAGGAATTTAAGGATGGAGTGATCGCAGTAGCTACTCAAGTATGTGGGGTAAGCAAGAAAAATAACACTGGAAGCAAGAGGAATGAATGGTGGGATGATGAAGTAAAAGAGGTGATAGAGCAAAAGAAGAAAGCATGGCTCGACTTATTAGCCTCAAAGGCAAATAGAAGAGTGCTAGAAAGTATGATAGAAAAGTACATTAGTCTCAAAAAGAGAGCAAAAGCGGTAGTTAACAAGAAGAAAAATGAATGCAAGGAAAAGTTTGAAAGGAATTTTTCGCGGAACTTTCGAGCCAACGCTAAACTATTCTGGCATTTAGTTAGAAAGGCCAGAGGCAAAGTGGGGGACTCGAAAGTAAGTACGATAAGGGATATAAATGAGTGTCATTGAAGAAAGTAAGGATGTTTTAAAGCAGTGGAAGGAATACTTCGAGAATTTATTTGAAAGGAGTGATTTGAAAGAAGAGGAAGTAAACGATGAAAATGAAAGTGCTAATGTGGGAGAAATAAATATGGATGAAATTGTGAGTGCCATTAAGAGTTTGAAAGTAGGTAAAGCAGCGGGATGTGATAGGATAACTACTGAAATGCTAACAGAGGGTGGAGGTGTAATTGCAAGCCTGGTGTATCTAATTTTTAATAAGTATTGGCGGTGCGGTCGTGTCCCTGGAGTCTGGGCCAAGGCCGTAATTGTGCCACTGTATAAAGGAAAAGGATCACAGCAGGAGTGCAAAAATTATCGCGGTATAAGCCTCCTAAGCGTAGTAGGAAAGTTGTATGCCAAGGTATTGATCGAAAGAGTGATGGATGTAACTGAGCGTAAAATCTGGGATGTGCAAGCGGGATTTCGAAAGGGAATGGGATCAAGAAATGTACGGATCAAGTCTTTTCGTTACGGTTCATTTCAGAGAAAGTGTTATCAAAGCACCAAAAGGTATTTTG